GGAACTAGGCTGGACATGAGTAAAGCCTACCATCGACAGACCGACGGGAAAAGTGAGAGAACTATCGAAACCATAGAAGATATGTTGCGTGTCTGTGTGATTGAATTTGGAAAAGCTTGGGATACCCATTTACCCCTCGTTGAATTTTCCTACAACAATAGTTATCACACGAGCATAAAGGCAACTCCATTCTAGGCCCTCTATGGCCGAAAGTGTAGATCCCCTCTGTGCTAGGCTGAGGTGGGTGATACCCAGTTAGCTAAGGGACGAGTTCCCGAAAGCACTCTCACGGGTCTGGAGATCATTCGGGAAACGACAGAGAAGATCGTTCAAATTCGTGCACGATTGAAAGCCTCTAGAGACCGATAGAAAAGCTACGCTGACAAGCGAAGGAAACCGTTAAAATTCCAGGTAGGCGACCGATTCCTACTAAAGGTCTCACGCTGGAAGGGCTTAATAATCTTTGGAAAGAGTGGGAAGCTCAATCCAAGATACATAGGGCCTTTCGAGATTCTCGCGAGAATCGGCCCTGTAGCTTACAAACTTAATCTATCGCACGAACTCAGTAACGTACATCCTACCTTCCACGTCTCGAACTTGAAAAAGTGTCTATCCGACGAGACTCTTATTTATTCCACTCAACGAGAGCCTCAACTTCGTGGAGGAACCAATAGAGATCATGGACCGAGAGGTCAAGCAAACAAAGCAGAGTCGTATCCCGATAGTGAAGGTACGTTGGAACGTAAAGCGTCGACCTGAATTCACATGGGAACGAGAGGATCAGATGAAACTAAAATACCCTCATCTTTTTGCATAGTTAATTGTAACTTCTTATTTTCATAAATTCTAATTTCGGGATGAAATTCCTTATAACGGGGGGATGATGTGACAACCCTGAATTTCCATTCTGTATAAACAATATCACTTCAATAGAAGTTGTATCAGTCATAGAAAACTTTCAAACTTTTCCGTATAACTTTGAGTAATTTAGGGTTTACACTTCTGGAAATATCAGGAGAGTGGATGCACTACGGTTTTGTGCAACACTGTTATTCCAACACTCTATTATATTCTGAACCAAATTCATTCATTCTTCGCATTTCCAACTAGAGAAAAGCCATTTTCTCTCTCACGGATCTTCGGCTTTTTATCCCAAAACGTGAGTAACTCTCTCTAGTATTGATACAAAGCTTATTATGTGTTTATAACATGATTGAGATAGCTAAATAACCAGATTTAGGAGTTTACTCCCCAAGGTGTTCTTGGGAGGTAAACTCCCGAAATAAATCCTAGCCCTATCCCCGTGATATGATACTACCTTGGACTTGTATACAAGTGTATTAGGGACAAGAAAACAACAAAGAATCACCCATGTTTAGGTGTTCACGGCCCTAGATTATCCTGGACCGTGAACTCCAAAATCATGGACAAAAGGGTGCTTTTAAGCCACCTAAAGCCTTAGACATTTACATGGAATTGTTTCCACTTAAATCAAGGACCCTGAACACATCAAAACACCCCTCAAAGTGAGTTCACGTCCCTAATAAGGTTCTTGGGCCGTGAAGATCAAACAAAGGCACCAAAGTGTGCCTAAGGCCTTCATATGCTTGGGATAAAAGTCTAAGACCCATACCACATGTGCAAGAGAATTGAAACCATCAAAAACACCATTCAAAGGGAGTTTACGACAGTAAAATCCAAAGGAAATGGCCTTAGGGCCGTAAACTCCTCAAAGGAGTGTTTCTATGCCTTAAACCCTTTCAAGAATTAAACCACCAAGTTGGAATACTTCTAGGGATCATTTAACACCTCAAAACAACCAAGAACATTAAGTCTTGGAGCTGACGGCCGTAAAGTCAAGAGTTTACAACTGTAAACTCCATGTGTTAGGTTATATGGAGAGTAAACTCCATGTGTGAGGTTATTTGGAGAGTAAACTCAAGTACAGGGTCCTTTGGAACCCTAAACCCAAGTGCCTTGTCCCACAATAGCTTAGATGCAATCCTTAGGGCTTATAACACTTATATAAAGTGTTTATTATGTTCTAGGATGTCTTAACATTATCAATTAGTAATTTAAGACTAATTGAGTGCATATATGTGTGATTATATGTTCATTACGATCGTAGTGCGTGTACAAGTCCTCACTTGACACCTAACAATCCTACACCGTCCAGTTTATCCAAACCACCATCTACAGATGAGTTCATACCCCTAAATGAATATTTGAAATGATTTTAAATGCTTTAATGAGGGGGGGGGGGAATACAAGTAGAAAACAACATGTTATTAAATCACTCATATGTATTTTATAACTATGTTTTCATCCAGCAGATTTCACACACTACAAAATGTGATGCATGAAATGGTTTTCCATCTTAAAATTCCTTGATAACAAAAGTATTAGTTTGCAATGTTTATTAACATGACATCAAGTCACTCTAAATTATTATTCAAAACTCTTAGATACCTTGCAAAACCATTACATTTACCTTCTTGAACAAACAATTGCCTTTCAGTTAATTATCATAGGGATAGTTAGAAGAAACAAAACATTATTCCTATTATAAGGAATCACACCAGAGTCAGTTCATTCATGAGTCAATACCAGTACATTACCATATACATGAGTACATTTACATATGATTACATGATACATGAGTACATTTACATATGCTTACATGATACATGAATACCATACATGAGTATTGTTACATAGATACATTATCCTATATTCACTTACCTGGATACTTGTACCTAGAGTTATAAGGAAGATTTATTCGTACCTTTTGTGTAAATTTTCCTGCCTATCCCTGTTCGATGGGATGTCTAGATGGGACTAACCATTGCGGAACCCAGCTGTTAGCACCACTGGGTGATGAACATCCACGAATGTCTAAGGTTATCACTTATAATAGATAGATTGATATCGTAACTAACCATGCCTCCATCCTGCTGTTGCAACAGAGGATGAGATGAAAATCTTCGGATGATCATTAGGTTACCACTTGTATTAGGATTCGGCTACGGAACTAACCCTTCCTCCAACCTGCTGCTACTGCAGAGGACAATTGGACAATCATCGGATGTTCATTAGGTTATTCATATCGCTTACTGCGATGGCGTGTTAGTCCTAGTATCCAGGGATAACACTTACATGTTATATTTTTCCTATTTACTTTATTTTGTGATATATTCACATAAACAATAAGTTAGACCAATTACTGTTTGTAGTAGTAAAAAAGAAGGAAAACTATCATTTTACTTACAAAACATTTGGGTCTTGGTAGAAGACTACATTGTCATAACAAAACATTCGGGTCTTGGTAGAAGACTACATTTCATACTACTAGGAAATAAGGGATTTCTTAGGGTTTTTCATACTTATATCAACTGTCTTACTTAAAGGTTTTTACATGACATTCATAACAGTTTATCAAAGCAAGAAAATGACACTTAAATACTTATGAATTCACCAGCTTTAAAGCTGATACTCTGTTTCAAAATAACTTGTATTCTCAGGTCATCAGTAGACAGGTATGGTGGTCATGTTTTGAGAAGATGGAGCAGACAAGTCTCGTCTTTTATTTTGATTATGTATTTTTGGTGTCTTATTACAATGAAAGAACACACATGTATTAAAACTTTACTTATAATGTGATGGATGATGTTGTTGCTTGTTTACTATTTTACACTATTGTCATACTGTACATGACATCCTCCACCCCTGAACGTTTCCGCCATTCGTGGTTTTGGGGTGTGACAGTGCATTTTTCTTACAAAAAGTCATCATTTGGTTAAAGGTATTGTGATTCAAAACCTTTCATATAGTTGAAACATTCACGATCCAAATATGATAATTTGAAGAAATGGGTTATGTCGCATCGATGATAATTGTAATATGATTTTTCTTTCAACCAAAACAATTGAAGCTATTCTATTCTTTCTTTATATTTAGTTTCTCATTTGATCTTTATTTGTGATTTGTGTCTATTACTCAATCTTGAATGTGACTCTCCACACATCAATGTTTTGCTTGGAATATCTTTCTGAGTTTTCTTTTTCAAGAAAAAAACATTTTGATTGTAGGTTAGTGAAGAATTGTCATCAAGTTTCTATGGTTGAATGATGTTAAATGAAGAGAATAGATTCAGAAAACAGATATAGTTTATTTTTTGTTAGAGCAAAGTAGACGAATGTTAGTTTTTTCTTTTGATTTAAATGAAAATTTATGTAACATTTTTTTTATATATTCAACCACCCAGTGTTCTTATTTGTTTGATTGTAGTTTTTCTATTTTGGTTATGTTTATTTTCAGTTATGTTTTTTTGTTGGGTTATCCTACACAATATATTTACAAAACAATATTTAAAAAATAACATAATTTATAAAGTTTGATATGTAATTATGATTGATTTCTCATGATATGTTCTTCACATGAAAGTAATTTATCCATATTAGTACAAGAATTACATATGACATTTACCAAAATATATATTATATGTGATTTGTTCAGCACATATATGCACCTATGTATGTTATAAATTTATAATTAAATATCTTTATGTTTAATAAATTGAAGGGATTAAAATGATACATCAAAACCAATTATTTAGATAATAATAATAATAATAATAATAATAATAATAATAATAATAATAATAATAATAATAATACGCATTCATTTGAAACTCACACTACAACTCAAAAGTTTCTAATTTATGTATATCTATTTGTTACAACTTAAGAGTTTTTAACTTATGATTATTAATTAATAATCAATAATAATTTTTTATTTTTCTTTTTTTTATAAGGTTGTAAAGTTTTGGTCAATAAAAACATTAATGTATTTGAAGAGATTCGTGATTTAAATATGAAGAGTTAATATAAATATTATAATTCATGTTCTAGTATTGTATATGCATGTGCGTGTATACAATAAAATCCCAATATATGCAATAATGTGCGATTACTAGAGGCGTTACTGAACATAGAAACCAATTATGGCTTAAACCATGTCAATTGAACTCCTAAAGATTTTTTTGCTATAGGACCAACAATCCCTCTTGCTTCAAGAAATGATGTATCCAATGCTGTTGCTGCCACAACTGCATAATTAACTCCTGGTCCCAATGCCACCACATTGTCACTCTCAGCACCATGCATAAACGGTAGTATTAGTAGCAACCCAAGACTCTCAGCTTCACGAACAGCAAGAAAATGCAAAGTCATTAATTTACATAGCACATGAATAACTTTATTCCTAGAAAATTAAATGCGATGTTTAATCCAATTATAGTACGTACTCTATTAGATACTATTTACAAGATATCAAATATCTAAAACTATGAATCATTTCAAATCGATGATGAGTTACCCAGGAAATCGATGATGAGGTGTCCTCTAGAGGCACTACCGGTGGGTTTATGAAAGAAGGTTTCACCGTAAGGAAACTGAAGAGACTGAACATCTTTGTGGGATATGGCGGCGAGTTGTTTAACATTACCCGTGTCGGCTACGGAGTCGACAAAGCTAAAGATGGACGTATAGCATCCATTAGCATACAAGATTCTATTCCATAACAACTGCTGCAAAACCATTAAGATTAACCCTGTGAAGAACCAAAACCATGAAGAAAACTCCATTACAATATGTTGTTTGAATATTAACAAAAGGTAATAAAATTTTGTACCAAAGTTATAACATGGATCTTTCATTATTTAATATGCTTTTCATTTAATTAGAAAAGCATGTTTGGATTCTTGGATTTTTAACATGTTATTCATTTTGTTCAGTAAACGTAACCCCCCCCCCCCAAATAAAATAATGAACAGTTCCATCCAACATATCATTTGCATATATTTCTCAAGCTACATTGTTTTTCTCTTTTCTATTATGATCAAAATTCAAAGAGTAAATTTCAAAAATGGTCACAATGGTTTGCAATTTTATTTGACTAAATTCCAAAAAATTTCCAACTTATCAATTCCGTCCTTTTTAGAAGGTTTTGTAGTAGATGAGGTCGTTGTTCGAATTGAAATTAAGTGTCAAGTTTAAGGGCAGTTCAATTGAAATTTCTTCTTTAATCACTTTTTTTAATATTTTATGAAATTAAAAATATAAGAAGGAACCCAAACCTACCCCCCCACCCCATGTAAAGTCCCAAAAACATAAGGTAAAAATCTCATTTTTAGTTCAACATATAAACACCATTTATTTTTATCAAGCTTTCAAAAGCACATCAAAGTGGTAATAGTTATCAGAGTACAATCCTAACATCATAAAAAGGGGAAACATTGGTGGATGTGATGCGATCAAGTAAGGCTCTTCCCTTTCGAACCGGAAGTACCTGAAACCCTAAACATAATTCATAACCACAAAGCTTAGTGAGTTCCTAAAATACCAGTTACCATGCATATATGTTAGCTCAAGGCTATGTCGGATCTATTTCACCACCGGGTCTATTTCACCCTCGAGTCTATTCCAAATCATATGTCAGCTCAAGGCTTTATTGAGTCTATTTAACCCATAGGTCTATTTTGTAACGTCCATGTTTCTAGGGTATGCATTAGTAAGATAATGTAATAGTCAAGGTTAACCATTGAAACCTATTTTAAAGTAATAAAAAGGAATTACTGGAATATTATATGAATTATACAATTTTATGTGAAAAATGAAAATAAGCGTCATAAATAAAGTATGAGATAAACCCGATATCGATGAAACAAGTTGTAGTGGTCGTGATAAGGATTCCGGATATATAAAGAACGCCGAAATCCAAATTATAATGAAGAAGTTATGTATTGTCGAGCTTTCGTGACAAAACCGACACGACACTATGAGACATAAATGATGAATTTATGATAGGATACTTTTTATCCTTAGTCATCTAATTGAAAATTGTAGCATTCGTTAAATTGAGAGTGTGCATAAAAAGAATGCCCAAAAATGACTTCGTATGAGGAAGTTATGATTTTTCCATGTTTCAGCTTAGTAGTATGCAGCTCGAAGTTTGAATAGTAGATCAAACGATTATTGGGAGACAAAACCAAAACAAGAATCGAAAGCCTCGTTAATAGTAGCTCAACAGTAAAAAGAAAGACAAAAGCAGACGTCACATAAAGAAGTTATGAATTTTTAACGAACTTTTCGTATCCCGGCCTGTTAAAAATATAATTTTAAAAATAAATTCAAAATTAGCGAACTAAGTCTAAACTAAAGTTGTAGAGTATGGTCCCACCTATGTGTGGACATAAATAATGTCGAAAATGAAGCTTGTATGCAAAAATTATGAATTTTTAAAGTTGGAATGTCAAAATTGCGAGACTGGGTGCGAGTGTACGCCCCGTGTAGAGAAGGGACGCCCAACGTCCGAGGTACGCCCATCGTACGAGAAGATTACGACCAGCGGTCTCACCTTGCATGGTCCTAAACAAGCCATGTAGATCTATTCGAAGAGTGCCACGCATTGTATGACCCTCGCTCCTTTGTTCCGCACATGCAGGTACGTCCAGCGTACCGAGGAACACCCTGCATACCCGAAGACTACACCCAACGTAATCTGAAGTCTAGAGGCTATAAATAGAGGTGCAAATCCATGCGTTTTTCTCACATCTTCCAACTTCTATTTCTTTCTCTACACCTCTAGACTATCTTAACCCCTAAAGCCTAGGGTACCTCCTTAGCACTTGAAGGAAGCCCTGGAACGCTCGAAGGCTACGAGAAAAAGAGTTTTTCGGTTTGAAACTCTGCTCGCGCAGAGTTTGGTTTTCAAGCAAACCTCCTAGTTTCATCAAAGAAGATCATTTTAAGAAGCGAAGAGTTGTCCGAATCATCACCTTATCAGGTGAGTGCATGGTCACTTTCATCTTACACATAGATATGAAGTACTTTATATAAATTATGTTCTATATATATGTGTGTGTGTGTGTGTGTATATATATATATATATATATATGTGTGTGTGTGTGTGTGTGTGTGTGTGTGTATTACATGTTTACCAGAGATGTATGTTGGATGAAGATCTATACTTCTTTCTTTTCAGATCTAAACTTTTTTTTAGTTCTAAACTTTTTCTCTTAGATCTGAAAGTTTTCCCTTCAGATCTAAACTTTCTCACTTCAAATATAAGTTTTTTAGATCTAAACTGTCTAAACTTCTTTCTTTTCAGATCTGAACTTTTTTTCAGATATGAGCCATATATGTATTTTCTTTACAATTCCAAACTTTTTCTTCAAATCTGAACCGTATGTGTATTTTCTTTACAAATATAAACTTTTTCTTCAGATCTGAACTGTATATGTAATTTATATCTATGAATATGTTGGGTAGAACATGGATAGATGAAATAAGTTGGTGTGTGATGAAAAATGAGTTCGTGGACGAGATGAAAAAGGGTGATATAGATCATGATATAAGGATGTGGTTGAAAAATGAGATAAACCTTTACCAAAACGATAACCCCATCATCTTGTCGAGTATGGATGACAAACATAGACTATTCTAGATGATTCGTGGAACACTAGCTGGCTCGCCACCTGTAGGTGTTATGAACAATATGTTCACCCGGTGTACTCTAAAAACCCATTGACATGTATCACAGGTGGACTCCCACAAATAATCATGTCGATAAATGTGAGCTATGAATGTAGCACCCGATAGATGAACCCTATAAACTATGGATTTAGTGCATGTTGTATAAACCCTTGCGACGATGAACTTCATGCCTATTCCATAGGAAAAGCCCTTAGGAATGAGTGATAGATGATTTTTAGGGCAGATCCTCAAGAATTAAAGAAGATAATCGGGATGGGTAATTAGGTTATTTGTTTGATGATGAAACATAATAACTTTATTATTGTGGGTTGAAAACCTTATGTACTCACCAGGTTTCCCAACCCAACTAACTCGGTTTATTTGTATCACAGGTGTCGATATAATGCTACACTACGTCGAGAGATTAAAGAGATGTAGATCACTAGTGTAATGAATGTAAGTTATGTTTATGCTTATGTTTCTGTATTGCCATTGACATCCCAAAATTTTAAAATGAATAAAATACATTTCCATATAAATGCTTTGAGTACATATTTGTCAAGTTTTTCTGCGAACAAATTCTGCAACACTTTTGTTTAAAAAGTTACTATAATTTTATTATAAAGCATAAAAAAAATCGGTCTTTTCTAGCCGCGAAAAATAGGGATGTCACATATTACACCTCAAGTCTATTTCAACTCATGTGTCAGCTCAAGGTTCTACCAGATCCATTTCACTCTACATACGTGTAACAAATAGGTATACAGACATATATCAGGTGTCACAAAGACAACAAGCACATAACATATCCTAGTGGGTCGGCATCGGTGCCTTCGACCCGTGAGTATGGTGAGGTCACTCACCATCCAAGATAACTGAAACACAATCACTAATAGTATCGGGTTCCTCATACTAAACACCAGTAGATTATCGCTAGTCAATAATTAACATAAGTCTCAATAATCCAATGTCCATTTCATTTTCTATCATTCCAATAGGCAAAATACCGTTTTACCCTTCCCATATCTAATCCACCAACTCCCAAAATGACCCTTGACCCAGAAAGAAGAAAAAGAGCAAATCATGGGTACCCCCTGCGTACCAGACTAGTACGCCCTGCATACTACATGCTGAAACTTAGAGTACAACCATTCACAACGAGGAATCGAGGAAAGCATGCATTACGGTGGCGTAGACATACTGTTGGGTTTTATGTACACTAACATTCCTATTGTGCACATACAACCATAATTCTTTGAATCTAAGGTTTCTCTAATTATACATGCAATATTCATTTTCCAAAGCATGAAGCCTAACTAGCATGCAAAGGTGATACTAGAATCACAAAAACTAGTTAGAAGATTAACTTGTGTAGTAGCTGTTGGATTAATGTCTAAGTCCATAACTATAACTAGTAAAACTTGACCCGACCCGGCATGGTCCATTTGGGTTGCATCGCATCATGCACTTGGATAGACTAAAATGAGAGAGATAACACTTAAGGTATTAATATATTATAAGTTCTAATATATTAATAAGGTTATTTAATTAGTATTGATCAAGAATTAATTTGGAATTAATTAAGTGATTAAAAGGAGACTAATTAAATATATGGGTTGATTGTGTAAATCATTAATTCTTATATATGTGGGCTTGTGATCCAAGATTCCTTATGTTGGACTAAGTCCACGGGGTGACCCATGGATGCTCTATGGAGGTTAAAATCCATGGAGCATAAGGAATGGGTAAAGTCATGAGTTACATAGTGTAACCCTAATAGCCACCATATAAAAGAATCCCATGGCTCAAGAAATCGTACACTATGGGTGTGTATGAGGGCTAGACGATTTCATGAAGTGTTATAATTTTTCTCTAAGTTATTCCAAGTGCTTATGGTGTTGTGTGAACCATTTAAGGTGTCACACTTGGGGCACTAGGCACTCAAGCTTCATGAAGACAACCACCAACAAAAGGTATGTTATTCTAACTTGTGTTATTCAAAGTTTTGTATGCTAGAATAGTACAATACCTTGGAAAGTTGATATTTGCATGTATAATAGAGAAAACATAGATCCAAGGTATTTTAGGGTTGCATGTACACTTAGGAGTGTTAGATTGCTCAAAACCCAACAGTGGTATTATAGACAAGGCTTGTTTTCTTGTTGTACTTTCT